AACGGACCCTTACCCCACCCTGAACCTGCCCCGTTGCCATCACTAATTTCACTCTCTAAATTAGGTTAAGGTTATATTTGTAAAATAATTGTGGTGTATCTATTAAAAACTATTTTAATTGGTATGTATTTATAATGTAGTAGAGCAATTAAAAATCGTGATATGAGTATAATTATCTTTAGTCAAATAAGGATTTGTAATATTTTTTACTTTATGCTACGCAATGCATATTTGATATTTTTAGTAATCGTCAAATTTGGCCTAAATTCATTGTTAAATATTTAATATAACTCACTTTTGAATCACTTGAGAGATGCGATTCATATAAATTATCATCTTCTCTGGAGTCTAACTCGTTACCAGAATCAGTGAGGATTGGGTCCTCGTTCGAGGAATGTTCAGCCCCATCTAAAGCATTTTCATCGTTCCCTAAACCATTGAATTTTGGGCGTCCATGCGGCTGAAAAAAAATGAAAATATTATTATACTTATAGCCTATATTCATAAAGCAGATAACTATCACATAAATCCAACACAAAAAGATAACTTTAGAACTACATCACGTGCGAAAACAACAAATGAAATATAAAATATTTGTTCCAGTTTACCTTCAAGTGGTCCCTCCAAGTGCATAATGTGTAAATATTGAACAGGTGGGGTCGATTGTGGAGAAGGATCTCCAATATTGACTGTTAGGGTTCGTCAACAAATGGTTAGGGTTTTGGAGGAGCTTCCAGTTCATGATTTGGGGAAGAACAAAGGCGTGAATTTGGGCTTCCAATTGTGTGTTTTTATGTATTTATGTTTTCATTTTTCATTTTTTTTTTTAAATGTGATTTGTGAAAAATGGAAACTGTGTCCACATGAAGAACACGGTTTCAGTTTTCAAAAGTCCTATTTTTGGTTTTTATTTTTATTTTTATTTTTTTTAGGTTTTGTGATAATTATTAATTGTGAGTAGGATGAACCATTGATGTGGCACGAGGTTTATGGCCACGCGAGATTACCGTCCTCCACATCAGCAAAAAAATCGACAGCTTTTGGGGAGTGGGGGATGGAGTGCAAATGGAACAAATTCAGTGAGCATTTTAAAGTATTTTATAGTTCAATGATTAGTCCGTGACCAATGCATAAGTTCAGTGATTTTTGAAACATTTCACTTAGTGATGGCAATTTCCCCCGCCCCGCCCCGACCCGTCTCGTCG